AAGGACCCGGGCAGGTTGGGCTCGGGGCTGGGCGAGTCTCCCGGGGGGTGCGACATGATGTCAGTGAAGCGCTGAGCCTCACTGGAGGGGTGATGTCCGGGCAGGGGGTGGTCCATGGCCCCCAGCGGGGTGCCCGACGGCCCCGAGGAGGGCACGAAGGGGAGATCCACGGGGGTCTGCGCTTGAGACGAAGGCGGTCCTTGCGGGAAGAAATCGTAATTGCTTCCAGGGCCGTAATACTCGCTCTGATAATCTGGCGGACAAGGAGAGACAGAGGGAAGGTAACAGGCGGGCACCCGGGTGGGAACGACGCGAGAGCGCTGCCACGGCCGCGCGGCTGGGGGGCTCGGGGTCTCACCCGCGAACCCGAGGGGAAAACGTGTTACCGGGCTGGCCGAGCTCCGGCAGCCCCGGGACCCCCTTCCCGCAGAGCAGCGGAGGCACCGACAGGAGCCGGCACCCCGAAAACACCGGGGGAACGCCGGGGGTCCTGCCGGCAGCGCCGCGACGGCCATCCCCGGGAGCGGGCAGTCCCGCGGCGGGCGGGGAAACCGGGCGGGACGGCCCCGGGACAGCCCCAGGGCTGCGGGGCAGCGCTGCCGGCAGCCGAGCCGGGAGCCCGGCGTGTCCGCATGCTGTCCCCGCGGGTGTCCGCGCATCCCGGCGCGGGGTGTCCGCGGGCGCACGGGGCCAGGGGCCGCGGGGGGAGCGCGTTACCCACCTCCATAGAAGGAGAAGGGCCCGTTGGGGATGAGCTCCCCGGGCTCCAGCCGGTCCACCAGCGGCCGCATCCTGCGCGGGCTGCGGAAGAAGGCGTGTCGCCGGGCTCCCAGCGCGCTCAGCTGCTTCATCCGCCGCTCCTTGGAGCGCCGGTTCTGGAACCAGACCTGCGTGGGCGGCGGGAGAGGCACCGGTCACGGGAGCCGGGAGTCGAGGGTCCCGCTCACGCCGCCGCCCTGCGCCCCCGTTTCCCTCCATTCCCATCCTCATCCCCATCCCAGGGACGCGCTTTTCCCCTTTCCCGGTCTCTTTTGCCGGTGCTCTCAGAGCTCGGCTCCTTCTCGTTCCAAACGGGGCCGAACCCACGCGTGACGGCGGCCCCGCTCCCCGCCGTCTGCAGGTCAAGAATGATTGAGTTAATTCTTATTACCCTGACAAGATTACTGCTAATTACCCTCACACTGAGCCTCTCCAATCTAACCTCGTCTTTAATGGTCCTTTAACCCCCCATTACCCCAGCGCTGCGGGTTTATAAACCTTTTAATAATTCCAGTGCATTGTCATTCTTATTTACCCATTAACCCCTCACATTTCTGGTTATTAATTTCGAAACTACTTTCAGCTTCTTCAGGACTTTTGAGAATAAACCCGCGGCTCCATCCCTGCTGACGGGCCGGGAAGCACCGGGAAGCTGCCGGGCCGCCAGGCTAACAACGATTTAAAAGGTCGGCGGGGCTTTCTCCGGCCCCGCTGTGCAGGGGGTGCCGGGCACGGGCCACTCCTCTCCCCCGCATCCCCAGACTGGCGTTCCCGCATCCCTCGGAGCCGTGCCCGGTGCCCGCAGGCGGCGGTACCTGGATGACCCGCATGTTGAGGCCAGTCTCCTGTGCCAGCTGCTCCCTGATGTGCCGGGTGGGTTTTGGGGTGGCCGCGAAGGCGGCTTTCAGAGTCTCTAGCTGTTTGGCTTTGATGGTGGTGCGGGGTCCCCGCCGCTTGGCCCCCAGATTCTGGTCGTCGTTTTCGTTGCTGCCCGTCTCCTTGTCGGACACGTTGGCGCTTTCTGAGTCCTTGGCGTCGTCCTGGGAGGGGTCTTGAGAGTCGGGGGACAGGCTGGGGTCACTGCCGGTGGTGGCTGGGGGAGAGCAAACCGGGTCACGGTCAGCCGGGGGGAAATACCGACCGTGAGGGACAGGCCGTGGTATGACAGGGGAGAGGAGAGGAGAGAAGGGAGAGGAGAGAAGAGAAGGGAGAGGAGAAAGGGAGAAGAAAAATAAAGGAGAGACAATGGAGAGGAGAAAGAAGTGAAACGAAAAGAAAGGGAGAGGAGAGAGGACAGGAGAAAGAAGGGAGAGAAGAAGAGAGAAAAGAAGGGAGAAAGGAAAGAAAAAGTAAGGAAGAAAGAAGAGAAAGAAGAAAGAAGAGAGAAGACAGGAGAAAGAAGAGGAGAAACGAAAGAAGAGAAGAAGGGAGAAGAGTATCTCATCCCAAGGAGCAGTCGGGGCTGAGCGCATCCCCGCCTGCATCGCCCTGGCCACACTCCCTCACCTGAATGCAGGCTGTTTTCTTTGGCAGTATTGCTGTTATTTAGGTAATCTTCTTTGCAGACAAACTTGTTCTCGTCTATGATGTAGAGCTCCTCGCCGGTGGAGAGTTGCTTGTTACACATCATACACGTAAAACAGTTCAAGTGGAACACTTTGCTCCGCGCCCTGCGGACCAGGTCGCTGGGGGAGATGCCCTGGGCACAGCCCGCGCACTTGGTCCCGAAACACCTGCGGAGAGAGGCCGGGCAGCGGGTCAGCAGCGCCCTCCGAGCCGCGGGGTCCCGCGCCCCTCACCGCGGCCTCCGCTCGCCCCGCTCGGCCGTGCAAAAACGGAACTAAACAAAACACGGCGTCCCCGCAGAGCGCTCTCTCTTCCTAACGAGCGAATTCTTGACACTGTATTTTTAAAAAATAAAAATCAAACCCGGCCTGGGCAGCGGCCGCGGGGCCGCGGGATTGATGGACCCTGGGGCTGCGCTGCCCGGGGTGTCCCCTGCGTCCCGACACCGCATTAACGACGCTCTAATAAACACCACGCAGAAATTCCATCCGTTCTGAGCGGCCCGGCCGGAGGAGCCGCCGGTGCGGGCAAGGCCAGCGCGGGGAGAGGGGGGACAGCGGGGCCCATCCCCGCGGAGGAGCGGCGGGCTTGGGGCAGTGCCGGTCCCCGTGCCCAGGAAGAAGCGGCTGCGGGGCTCGGGCCGAGCGTTGTGCGGGTATGCGGTGGGGGCTCGGCGGCTGCCTCGGTCCCGAGCCAGCCCTTGCCCTTCTCGCCGGTGTGCGGCGGCGGGGCCCGGCCGGGCAGCGGCACCGGCGGCCGCTCCGAGCCCGGGATTGATCCCGGCGCCGGGATGCGCGGGAGAGGCGGCGGCGGGAGAGCGACGGTACCCGCTGCCCTCTCCATCCATCCGGCGGGGAAGGGTCGCTGCCCTCCGGGGCAGCCTGGGCTCGCTTGGACATGAGGCGATGGGCCCGCGAAGCGCCCGTACCGGGCCTTCCCCGGCGGCACCGGGCCCGGGCGTGCGGGGAACAACGCGGGGCCCCGGCCCGGGCAGCGCCGCGCTCACGGCCGCGGAAAGCCCCGGCGGGGTCACCCCCGCTCCCAGCACCGGGTCCGGGACGGCCCCCGCACACCCCCCGCCACGATCCCGCACTGCTCCGCCGGTCGATAGTTCGGGAGCAACTTTGGGGAACTCGAGATCGGCCTGTCATCAACATGCAGGGCCCGACGGGCCCTTCCCGGGCCCGACCCCCGCCGCCGGTCACCGGGAGAAATAACAGCGGTTCGAGATGTTCGCGTGTCACGGGGAGGGAAGAGGCGCTTGTGGGTCCCGCTGACAACGGGGGGAAACAGCAGAAATAAAGGGGAAAAAAACGGAGATGAAAAACGGATGGAGAGGAGCGGTGGGGCCGGGTGGGGGCCGGTACTTACCGAAAGAAGTCGTTTTTGCAGTAAAGCTTGCCTTCTCGCGAAAAGCATTTCTCTGTCAAATTGCATTTACATTCACAGCACTGAACACACTTCACATGCCAAGCCCTGTCCAGTACATTCAACAAAAACCGGTCCAAGATCGGCCTTTTGCAGCCTGCACAGTGAACCATTGTCTTTGGTTAGTTCTGAGGGGGGCAGCGGTTTCCCAGGTGTCAAGAAAAAAAAATTAAAACAACAATTTTTTTTTTTTTCAAAAAGATGACAACACCGGCGTAGGGTTTTTTTTGTTTTGTTTGGTTTTTTTCTCTCTCTTTTTTTTTTTTCTCCTCTGTGTGTGTGTGTTTGTTTTAAAAGCCTCGGAGAAGTGAAGGAGGAAAGAATAAAGGGAGGAAGAAGAAATATCTTCGTTCGAGTGTCCTAGGAGGGGTACACAGGAGAACCTCCCCCACTGCCCAGCGCTTCAACACAGCCGCAGGATCCCGGCCGCTACCAACCACACGGATAATAATAATAATAATAATAGTAACAATAAAACAATAACGGCTATAAAGATCGGCGTTCAGAAAAAATAAAAATTAAAAAATTAAAAACAAAACCGCCAAAAAGCGAGCGTGATGAGTTTTTCTCGGATCTGAGGTAGAGCAGTCAGGAGTCAAAGTGCTTTTCCCAAAGAGAAATCAAAGGAGGAAAAAATATAATAACAATAATAATAATATAATAATAATAATAATAAATAACGAGCCGGGACATGGAGAGGCGGCGGCGGTCAGAACGGGCTGTGGCTGCTGCCGCGGCGACATCGCCCTGACGCGGGGTTGGGGACACGCGGGGACGGGGGACACGCTCCGCCGCTCCTCGCTCCGCCGCTCGCTCTCGCTTCTCTCCCTCTCCCTCGACGTCTCGGCGGCACCGTCCGTCCGTCTGTCAGTCCGTCCGTCAGTCCGTCAGTCCGCCGGTCAGTCCTACCTACCCCCGCGCATCGCTACCCGCGGCGGCCGCCCGTGTCCCCGCCGAGCCGGCGCGGCGTGGCATGGCCCGGGCGGTGTGGGTGTCGGTGCCGGTGCGGAGGGCCCGGTGCGGGCGGGCCGGGCCGGGCGGAGGGCGCGGGGCAGAGGGGCGGCCCCGCCGTCCGGCCGCGCTGGGGGCTCTGCTCATGGTCCCGGCGCCGCCGCCGCCGCAGCCTTATGGACCGCGCGCGCACGTCACGGCCCGGCCCGGCCAATCGCGGCCGCCGCCGCCGCCCCCCCGCGCCCGCCGCGCCCGCGCCGGACGGGGCGTCCGCGCCCCTTTATAGGAGCCGCCGGGGCGCCGCCGCCGCCTCCGCCCGCGCCGGCCGGCCGGCACACCGACAGCCACACCGGCACACCGACAGACACACCGACACCCACACCGACGGCCCCCGAAGCCCGGTTGAAGCGGTAGGTTTGTGTCGGTACGCGGACGAGCGGACGGTGGGTGCGAGGGAGACGAGGCGGCTCGATGGCGTCTGGCACCCCCCGCACAGGGTCACGGCGCGGTCCGCAACAGGAGCGGCTCGCTGGCGAGCGGCAGCGGCGGCGAACGAGGTCCCGGTTTAGCGGGGGTTCCCCCGTCGCGCACGGCGCGGCCCGAGGGCGCGGGGGCTCCCGCGCTGCGCGGAGCTGAGGAGAACCCGCCTGTCCCGGGAGGAGCGCTGCGGTGGGGCCGGGGCCGGTCCCCGTGCGCTTAGACGGGGACGCGCCGGTGCGGAGGGGGCGGCGGGCCCGGGGCCCCCCGGCCTCCGAGGGCAGAGCGAAGGCGCCGGTCATTATAGCGATGGTTCCGTTACCGGCGCTCGCAGTGCCCGTCCCGGGACGAGGAGCACCGGCCACCGCGATGGACATTTTTTTTTTTGGGGGTGGTAAATAAAGATTAATTCGCTTTTACCTTCCAGGGGCCGGTCGGTACCGGGGCGGTGCGGAGGGACGAGGTTTCTCTTTCCTTTGCGCTTTCCTGCCCGGCGGGAACCACCGCTCCGGGGAGGTGTCACCGCCCGGCCCCGGGCCCCGCCAGCCCCGGAGCCCGCCCCGCACCGTCCCCTCGGGCCGGCTGAGACGCCGCCGCCAGAGAATTAGGAAGGGAACGGCGGATTGAAAGGCCCCGGCGTGCCCGAGGTTACACACACGGCCGGGAGCCGGGGCTGAGCGCGGGGGTCGGCGGAGGCCCATCCCGGAGCATCCCCCGCCTGTACCCACCGACCGCGCTCTCTTTCACGTCTGTTTTCCTCCTCCTTGAGGAAAAGAAAAAAGCGAGGGAGGGAGAAATTGGAAGATAAAAAGGAAAAGGAAGGCAGGAAGCCCGCTCCGTGCCCTGCCCGTTGCTCCGCGCGGGGGCAGCCGGGACCGGCGTGGATGCGGAGCCTGCCCGGGCCGAGACATCGCCTCGGAGCTCCTGCGGGTGTTTAAAAGCCCAGGGGCCGCATCCGCAGTATCGTCTTTCCCCCCCTCGCCGGTCCCCCCGTGCGGCCATCCCCGCCCCGTCGGGGCGCGCACCGGGCGCGCAGGGCTCCCCCCGCCCAGCTGTTGGGTCGCTTCGCCGCCGCTCTCGGGGATCAATAGAGCCCTGGGCCCCCCCCGCCCCGTGCCCCCGCACATGGGCCGCTTCTCATGCGGAGCCGCGGGGCCGGGCTCCCGCTCCGCCGCCCGGGAAGGCGACAGCTGCGGGCAGCCGTCAGGGGAGCGCAACACTCGGCTGCGGCCCCCGGTGACATGTGTCGGTGGGGATGAATGAGGGGAAGGAGATGAGCATCTCGTGTCCATCAAGCACCAGTTTTTCACAGCGATTTTTTTTTTTTTCTCCTTTCCCAGGCGTTAGCGAAAGCATCTGGTTCTCCCCTGCTCCCCGGGGGGCACAGACCGCTGCCCACCCCCACCTCCCCGGGGGTCCGGGGTGCCCCCGCACCGCTGCGGTTGTCGCGGGGCTCTGCCCGTCCGCCCCAACACACGCAACCCCCTCCCCCAAAACTCCGCTCGGGAGAGGCGGCAGCGCAGACCGAGGGGGGCTGCTCCCCCCGGACGTAGGGGGCAGTGGGGTGCCCCCCATCCGCCTCAGCCCCCAACGGGGACCCCGACCCAGAACAGGCGTTTGAGAGGCGAAAGTGACCGTGCTTGTTTCCAGCAGGATCCGAAAATCAAACCCCGCCATCACCAGGCTCCCCCGAGTCTTCTGTGCCCCCGGGACACTCGTGTCCCGGCGTGGGGCACCCACGGGAGCCCCAGAGGCGGGGGAAAATAATCCCCCAAGGCCACAGGGATGGGCGGCACAGTCCCTTCCTAGGGCTGGGCCTCCGAGTCGGGATGGATTTTTTGGTTTTCACTGCATCTCGCAATTCGCCCAGGTCCGATCCCGGCCTGGTCTGAGCCCCCAGTCCCGAGCAGGTCCGAGCCCACCCGTACTGAGCGGGGAGCCGGCCGGGATGTTCCAGAGCAACCCCGCTCGGCCTCGCTGAGGGACATTAGAAGCGTACAATAAGAAAGAAAGAGGGACATTAAAAGATGCTTCTAATAGGGGACAATTAAAAAAAAAAATAAAAAAACAAACCCCAAAACAAAACCAGAGAGAAAGTAAAAAAAAAAAAAAAAAAAAAAGTGAAAATAAAGACTAAAACAACCAAACAAAAACCCCAAACTCAAATTCATTTTAAATCGAATACAGAAGGGGAAAAAAAATGTCCTTTTCAGGGGAGTTTAAATTTGCATTTTATTGGCGTCGTTCCCGTCTTTTTAGTTAAACATCACCCTGTTTATCATCCCCCTTTCCCCACCGCTGCGCTGGGTAATGGGATTTCTCTCTCCTTTACGGGGCACCGGTGCCGTACAAACACTGGAGCCCGCTCGCCGGGGACCACCGCGGTGCGTTGCGGGGCATCCCCGCATCCCCAGCTGCTCCCTCCCTCCAAACCAGGCAAAAACTTCCACGCGCTCGCAGACACTTCCCACCATGTCCCTCCCCCGACAGCATTAAGTTTTCCCTCTTTCCTTATTCATTTTTCATTTGATTTTTTCCCTGTTCTTTTAAACCTTTCACAACTAGCGCGCAGGGGATCGGGGATGATACCGGGCTTTGAGCGACCGGTGGAGCCGGTGACCGGCAGCATCCCCGACGTGGGGGGAGGCCGGGGGAGGCCCTGAGTTCCCGTTCCGACCCCTCCGCATCCCGGTGGAGCCCTGCTCGGGGTGCGGGGGTCGCTCCGAGGCGCCGCCGCGCTCCCCTTCGGGAGCTACCGGAGAGCCCCCCGCCACCCCGGGCAGCGTTGCGGGGGGACAGCCCGTGGGGAAGGTGGGGGTCACATCTCTCTCCCCCCTCCCTCCCCACCACTTTCCCCCGCAGAAAGAGCGCCTCCGCCTGATTAAATATATATGCGCTTAATGCACTATCCAAATATTGAAGTTAAGATGTAATTAAGCCTGTAGAACATCCCCGCGAGATAAACCCCATGCTGGACAGGATCCGTCGCCAGGTTTGTTTTAAAAGAGTTGGGGAAAAAAAAAAATCTTTAAATTATGTATTAGAGGGTCCCAGTTTATCCTGCCACACTCGGGTCGATGCTGAGGGTAAACACCGCACTGTCCCCCCCGGCTCCGCTCGCCTTTCCCTTTTCTTTTATTTCTTTTCTATTTATTTTCCTTTTTCTTATTTATTTTCCTGCCCCCCTCCCCCGTGATTAGCCCTCCCGGGTTTCTTCACACGTCGCTAAATGTTGTCGCTTACACTCCAAGCTCATGCATTGTTTATGGGAAATATAGTTAATAAATAATTACAAATCCGAGGTGTGCGGCTCTGCCTCTGACTGACGGGAAAGTGGCCGGGAAGGGGTCGGTGGTGGCCCGGGGGGGGTCCCTGAGCCCACCCGGGAGCGGGGCCCGGCGGGGCGGCGTGGGGGGCTCCGGGACGAGCCCGGCGGGGGCTGCGGGAATGTGAGAGCTGAGCGGGGTCCTTCACTGAGCGCTGTTAAAGGGCGGATAAAAGACGAATAAAAGAGAAAAGAAAGAAAAGTGAAGAGGTAGCGGGGGCGGGGGGGCTATAAAAAAAGAGGGTGAAGCGAACCCCCGGAGGATGCACCGCTCCCGGCTCATCCATCTTCATTGTCTCCGTGTGTGCAAAAGCAACTCCAGTCTAAGGAAAAGCCACTATCAAAGCCATGGCTTTATTTTATATCCTATAGATCAGGAGGGAGGCAAAGCTTTATTTTCGCCCAGAGACAGATATTTTATTTCTCTCTTACGGTTTTATGTGTGAGAGATGTCAAAAAGGTAAAATAGATTGCTAATGCATAGGCAAAACGAAGCTGTTTTGGCATGCTCTGTGTCAGGAGGGCTCCCAGGGAGCGCGGGCTGGGGATTTAGGGCTGATGGGGGACTCGGGGGGATTCTGCTAAAACATCTCTCTCCATAAATCCAGCCGCATGGTCAGCGCGAGCGGGAGAAGGGAGTTTTAAAGGGGAAGAGTTGGGGCGCGGTGGAGCGGAGCGGGGACCCCCGCGACCCCCGGCCCCGCTGCCCCCGGGTCCGCCGCGTCCCGCCGGGGCTCCGGGGGGGTCACAGCGGTTGTTCCCATCGCTTCTCCCGGCGGAGCTGCGGCGCTGGGAACCCCTCGGAGCCGCTGCCGGCGGCACAAAGCGCTCCCGGCTCATCCCGCCCGGCCAAGGCAAGCCCTCACCATCCCCTAAACCTCCTCCTCGTTTTTTCTCCCCCAAACAAGCACCCATCCCCCGATATTGGTCTAAGCCCCGGAGCGGCGGCTGCTCAGCATCTGCCTCCCCGACCCCGGCAGCGGATCTGCACGGACCTTTTCCAAAGTTAAAATATATCTCCCCAAGCTGCAACAATTTTCATACTTTTTGACCTCGGGGATTTACTTAGCACGTTAAGTTCAAGGCTCAGAAGCCCAGGGCTATTACTCATTTAGGCACTCCCACCACCAACACTTTTCACCACATATTTTATCATTTGACTTCCTGGCTTAAATTCATGTTATGGCAAATAATGGATGGTAATACTTTCCCCCTTCCCCATGTTAATTGTCTTGTCTGACAGCCTCCGCATTTGAAGTGATTTAAAGCAAACAAGGGTGCAGCGAGAGCAGGAGACAAACCAGCACAAAACCTCTGCGGGAGCCCTGCGGCCCCGGCTCTTCCCTCCCAGCTTGGGGGCTGGACCCAGAGCACAGCAAAGCCCCCCCTAAAGCATCTTCCAGCTCTTGCTGGGGTCACTACTGTGCTAAGGCTGCTTCTCCTCACTGCCCTGCAGCCCCCGGGGTGATGTGGGGGGGCTCGGCCCTGCCTCGGGCCCCTCCGGCTTTGCTGCCCAAAATATTGCTTCCTTGAGGTGGCTGAAGTGGGAAATCAAACCAGAGCGCTATTTGCAAATTAAAAAAAAAACAAGGTGTAGTTGATTAGCAAATTAATTATTTCAGTACCCCCAGGATTATATTGTTTTTCTAAGTTCTGTGGGCCTGTGTAATTTACTAATTTCACAGTCGCTGAACTTCCCTGGGAGTGAGAGCCAATCTCCCCCACCTCTCTGACACGTACACGGGATCCTGCGTGGAGGCAGCGGCTCCGTCGGCAGTGTTGGAGGGAAGAAGGTTCCCAGACCTTTCCCTCTGCTCCTGCCACTGACCTGCTGCCTGGCCCAGGCCAAATTCTTTGTTTTTCTTTTTTTCTGAGGTGGACAGTGCCTTCCTTCCCAACAGGAGCAGCTCCTCCTGCTTAGAAAGCAATAACCACAGAGGCTTTCCTCTACCCAACACTGTCAGTGGCTTCCTGTATCTGTATGGAGAAAGGGCTGCTGCATTACTTGTTCTTCACAAGTAGCTGGAGAGGAGAATTCACAGCCTAAAAGGGTTTTTGTCACCAGCAGAATGTCCATTTTTGCTGTCTGACACCATCATCACCCAGACTGTTTGGGAAAAATAACTGAAATCCAAACAAACAGGACTCTGCCAAAAAAAGGTAGGGATAATATACCTGCAGTGGTGGGAAACCAGCACTGCCCTCTGCCTACCTGCCACAGATGCAGGAGCAGAGCTTGGTTTGGGGTGATAAAAAGCATCCCCTGGACCAGGTACCACAGCACCAAGAGCTTCCCTCGCCAGGTGAGACAATGAATCCAGAGCTCCTGGCTGTGGTTATATCTGTCTGCTTAGTCCTGACTCCTGACTAATCTTCTATATATAGACTCTGTTTGGTATGTTACTATATAATATCCTATTTATATAGGTTCTATTTTAAGGGTTCTGAGAGGCCAGAGAGGTTCTGCCCAGCCTGTTCTTCCCTACTTTATTGGCCACACACAAACCCGGGCAGCTGGGCTAGTGCAGGTTGAGCCCAAGCAAGTTCCTGACTCCTGGGTGCCTCCAGCCCAGCACAAATTTTTGTCTGTCTGGGACAAGTGGGCAAGAGCCAGGTAAGAGGCAGCTGTGCTGTGGGAGTCAGTGGCTGCAAGTGCTGGGAATGTGGAGGGAACCGAAGAGGTCACTGCATGCTCCAGGCAGGGCTCGTTAGCGCTGCACTGCTTGTGGAACCTGAGCTGCTAATCGAGCATCACCACCCCACTGGCATGGAACTGGAGCACGGCAACAAGGAGATGTGGCCAAACACGTTGTTTTATAAAAAAATGCACATTTAACTCCCCTGTTTCCTTCCCCTTCTCTGTGAGCGATGCCCACAGCGTGACAGTGAGGATGTGGCACTCACAACCACAGTCCATTACTCTGAAATGCATCAATATACTGTGTTCAAGACAAAAAACCCAGATCATCTTGGTCTAGAATGTGAAATTTTACCAGTTCCAGCTATTTTTTCCAGGAGAAGCCAGGGGTTGAGCTGCATCACCATGAGGGTCCTGCCTGCCAGTGCTCTGCTGTCCCCCCTGTGCTCCAGGACAAGTACCCACAACAGGGCTTGTGCCACACGCTGGCACTGCCACAGACCAACCCTCTGTGCTCAGAAGCTCACTTTAAAAAACACATATTGTTCTAAAATAATCCTTCCTCGGCATCACTGGGCTGTTATTCCAGCCAGGCCTGGCGATCCCTGCCAGCGTCGCTGTGATGGTGAGGCAGTGCAGGAGGGCACGGGGGGAAGCAGCTTCTCGAGGGTCAGCCCAAATCTCCCAACTCCCACTCAGACACTTCACCTCTCAGCTCCCTTTCTCACTGTGTTCCTTGGCGGGCAGGGTAAAAAACAACCCCCCAGACCCTGAGTGTGTTGCTTTCTCCAGGCCTGGACGTGTCTCCAGAACCTGGCACAGGGCACCACGTGCACTGGGAATGCAACCCCACAGCAGCATTATCATTCCAAAGTGGCAAAAACATCACGCAGAAGGCTGCTCACCCCTGGCTTTGTTGTGCCACGGTCTGAATCAGCCCTTTTTCCTGCTGGATGCCATCAGTTGAGTGTTGATCTCCTGGCAGCTGGCTGGGAACATCCTGCACTACCACAGCTCACGTCAGCTGCTCCCAGGAACAGCCACAGGGCCACAGACACAGCCTGGCTCACCAGCCCCTGGGAGCCACTCCCTGCTCCTCTCCTCACCCACAACCCTTCTCAAGTCACTGGGTTTGTCACTCATGGAGTTACTGGGGACTGAGGGCTCCTCTCATCTCTCTCTATCCACAGGTGGAGGTGGCTCCAGAGAGCAGAGGCCGAGGCACCCACAGACCAGCGTAACCACGAAGGCACTGGAGGCTTTCCCTTACAAACAAGTAAACCTTGTTTCAAATGCAGTCCCTTATTTATCTGCACTTCCTCTAGGAACAACCCCAAACCCTAGTGAACAGATTCACAAAGCATCTTTCTCCTGCCTGTGAAATGTCACTGTTTTCACTGAAGCCAAGGAGCTGTTCTGTGCTGGTGACGTTGTGTACGTATGAAAACGGAAACTTCTCAGGATGTTCAGACTCTGAAACTGTGAGTCTGCAGAATTCCCAACCAGTGCGGGTTTTTCCAGTCATTGAAATAAAATCTACATTGCTGTAATTAGTTAATATTTGTAAAGCCCCTAAGATTGCAGAATAAATGGCTGAAAGAAATTCCCCTGGTTATTAGATAAATGTGCTAATAATAACGGCGATGGCTGGTGAGGACACATCGCTGCTAATGATGTACAATTAATTTCCTTGAGGCTGTGCTAATAAACAAAACCTGCTTTTCAAATCTGGTGTGTTTATTCCATATATGCTCTCAGATCAAATAAGTTTCTCTCCCCACAGCACGGTCTTCCCCTTCTCCCTCTCTGAAATCTCTCATTAACTCTTGCCATGCCACGTTGTTGATTACAGGACACGCACCCCACCCCGCTCAGCACCCCCGAAATTAAACCCTGTTGCCCTTGGATGTGGCCTGACATCCTGCTGCCAGCACGGGGACATCCCAAAGGGTCACTGAACCTCTGTGATGGAGCGCTGGTGTTTGTTCTCATCCCAGCCTGGGCTTTGCAGGGAATCCCTGCGTGGATCTCCAAGTCGCGGATCACCCGCGTTCTCTCCAGCCAACCCGAACACACCCCGCGTTATATGTCCCTGTTATCACTTCTCTTGTAAAACCAGAGAAGCTGCTCCAGAGCTCACGAAGGAAAGTGTTTGCTTTCCCTTCAGGGGTCAGCCCTCGGCTCTCACAGCAGCTCCATGCCTGTGGTGTCTGTGCACGAGGTGAGGAGCAGCGGGAAGCGGCGCCGGGCTTTGTGCCGACGGAGCTGAGCGCAGAGTCCCTGCCCACGGCTCTTCCCTCGCCTCTCTTTGCACAAAATCGATAGGGTGGGAATTCAAAACAAATCTTTCCTGCATACCTGCAGGAGATTATGTCCCTGCCCCAGGAAGCGCAGGGAGAGGTTCCCTTCCCACCTCTGACCACAGCCTGGAGGAGCAAACGCAGAGGGCAGAGTCCTGAGGCGCTGCGGGGCCGCTCCGGTGTTTGAGGAACGGTTTAGGGCTGTGCGTGCCCTGCAAGGAAGATTTCCTACTGCTGCTTTTAAAACCCCCCATTAATATTCCACAGGGCTGGCGCTTCATGGGGGAGAGAAATGCCATTTCCAAATACCGGTGCCGTTCTCATTCCCTCATTTGAATTCAAGCACTTTCAGACGCAAGACACCGACTTGTTTAGCTTCTGAAGTGACCACGGGAAAGCTTTTTCCAGTGGCAATACTTAAAACAAGTCACTGCACACTGACAGGGACAGTTGTGTTTGGGGTCCTGATGCCACCCAGGACACCAGGGTGGGATTTGGGGTGACCCCTGCCTGGCTGCAGAGCCCTGAGAGGTGAGAGTGCATCACCTTTGCTTTCCAGAGGGAAAGCAAGCAGAGGTAGGCACCAATAAAGCATCCTGACCCTTCAGATTTTTGTGGAAATCCCTGCCCTGGACACCCCAGGGTCATGCCAGGGCTGTGCCTGCTGCTTGCTGACCAGCTGAACACGTGCCATGCCCAGACAGACACACCTGTGCAACCAGGCTGCTGCTCACACCGGTTGTAAGAACGCACAAGTGTCTCAAATCCAGACAGAAAGAGGAGGAAAAATGTTCAAAAAGAGCAGTTTTAGAATTTTAGAATTAACAGAAAATACCCTGTCCTTGGGCATTCCCCCCTGTGAGGCCCAGCTCGTGCCAGGGAAGGGTGTGAGGCTGGGCCAGGCAGATCCACCCTGGAGCTGTCACCCCCTGGGGCTGGATCCACCTTTGGAGCTCAGGGTAAGAGGGGGAAAATCACAGGTATGTGGAAAATACCTGGGTTTTTTTATTACTACTAGAATTAGGAAATCCACATTACTCCTAGAATCAGGAAATGCACCTTCAGAGGTGTGTGCCCAGCTACCTGAGGGATCTGGTCAGGCGAAGGTCTCTGGGTAGAGAAGAAATTCCAAGGTAAAGAAGAAAAATAATCTACAGTGGGAAGCCACATGAAAACCTGCTCATCTTTCACCGCCCTGACATGTTGCTGCTTTTTTGTGTGTGTCTAAAAAAAAAATCAACTGAACTCCTGAGTTAACGTGAAAACAAAAAAATATAGTTAAAGCAACTCTGAAATGGTCATACAACCAAAATAACTGCATTAGATGTTAAACCTTCTATCAGAGAGCTCAGCTGCCTTTTTTTTTTTTTTTTAATAAATCTGCAAAATGTAATTAAATTGGTGATGGTAAAAAAAAAAAAATAGAGAGAAAAAAAAAGAGAGCCCAGTCCAAACCCTTATAAGGATATTTCAGCCTTGCTGAGGTTCCTTTTCCATAAATGTTAAGCAGACATCTGTAAACATAATTGGAATTTACTGCACACGTGAATAACTGCATATAAATTAGCCTGTATGGTTGGGGTTTCAGGAAGGGCTGCAGGTCCCCCCCCTTGTCGATAAGACACCGGCACATCCCAGCTCAATTCCAAATGTCAATTTGCTACATTTTAATTTTTTTTTTTTTTCCCTGGTTCTTGCCTTGTTACATTTATCATAAAGCCTCTATAGATGAGACATTCTGCTGAATTTCGAGCGTTCCCAGGTTTGTTTACCAGGCTGGTAGTTATTCTTTTGGAAAATGCAGAGTGGTATTGTCAGGGATTGCTCAATATTAATGACGGAGACCCGGGCGTCGGAGAGAGCTGAATGAGCACAACTTCATTTCACCATTCCTCGATTTTTTTTTTCCCCATATTTTTTCTCCCTTTTCCTTTTCTTTGCCTTCTTCTTTCTTATGGGCAGGATTGTGCAAGGCATGGAGCCTTCTGTCCCTAAAGCTGCATGGTCCCAGGGTCCAGTCCCTGTTTTTTCATTGATCAAGTCAATGATCAAGAACATTGATCCACTTAATGGAAAAACATCCAACTTCTATGGCTCAGGATCAAGATTTTAAGCACCTGCTTAACTTTATGCCCAGGGGCTGGAAAATCCCAGTTAAGCCACAGTGAAACCTGTGCACCATGATGAAGGTGCCTCTTCCTCCTCACACCCTTCTCCATCCTCCTGTCCCCACCCAGGTCCAGTGAAAAGTTGGGAATCCCATACAGGGAGCACAGGGGAGAGCAGGAGGGGCACGGTGAACTTGTCAAGCCTTGGGTGAGCCCAGCATGAGGAAAGGTGTCCAGATGCACATAATTCAGCTAAAACAAGGATTATTTTGGATTTGTACGGAGTCAGTCAGGAGCAGGGCTGACACAAAGCCACATTTTCTGTGGATTTAGTGAAAACAAAGGGTTGTGCCCATTCCCAGTGACACACTGACACCTGGCTTAAACCAGCTCAGCCTTGGGCTGTGAATTTAGAGGAACAAATTCAACCAAGCCCAATAGTTGGAAACAAATATTAGGAGCTGGACTCAGGGATCCTTGTGGATCCCTTCCAGCCCAGGATGAACTATGATCCTATAAAATGTGAGCCTGAAACCCACTGGACCGAGGTGCCAAAGTGCCTTTGGGGCATGGACCCACACACTGCCAGGCTGGGGAAGGACCACATGGCACAGCAGGGAGTGGCAAGGCCAAGAGGAGAAATCCCTCCTGCCCTGGAATAAACCCCTGGATGAGGCAACAACGCTGCTCCCAGATCTGTTGAATTCCAGGGGAAGCCGGACTCAGATGCCTCTGCACTGGGTGCTCCAGGGTGCTGGAGCCAAGGAGGTGTTTGGGGGAGCTGAGTGGGTGTCCCACACAGATGGCCACTGGTCAGAGGTGGGCAGAGGACAACCTTGTGCCCTGTGGAAGGGGATGGCCCTGCATTCATCCCCCAGCCCTGCCATGGCACCACGGTCGGTGTTCCCGAGCGTTCTTTGGGATAACGGCCCTACCCCGCGTGCCAGCGGAGCGAGCGGGTGATTTATCCCACTGTCACTCTTCAAAGGAGCAGTTGTTTACCATCCATCTCCCCCCCTGAGCCCTGCTGGTCTGGAGGGGGCCCAGGAAGGCTGGGGCTGTGACCCCCCCGCTCCCGCCGCCCTTCTCACCTTGACTGGGCGCGCCTTCCCCAGGGATGCTCCCGGGAACGTGGGAGCGGGGAGGGCTGACCTGAATTTAACCTCCCTGCGAGCCCCACATTTGCTGGTGAGGGGAGGTGAGAGATGTGGCAGCCTGGCCAGAGCTGGTGACAAACTGCCTGTGTTTTGGGGGATGAAGGAGATGACATGGGGAGGGATGGGGGGTGGGAAGTGCCCTGCCTGCACCTCACCTGCCTGTGTGGCCACGACTTGTGGTCACCCCCGGGCCTCCCTGGTCACCCTCATGTGCCACAACACTCATTTTATAATTCAAAATTATCAACTAAGTTTGTTTCTTGTTGGTTTTTTTTTTTGTTTGTTTGTTTGTTTTTTTGTCCCAGGTCATTCCAATTTCTTTCAAATGCACCCATTTGATCTTAGTGTGAAAGGGATTCTCTCTCTCTCTCAAGTTGTTTTCACTTAAAAAAATAATTAAAAAAAAAAAAAAAAGTCCTGGAACATCAGACAGAATAATGAGCAGATTCACTATTTAGTCACAGAATGACCTGAAATTTCTCCAAGGAAACATATTTTTCACTGAAAAACACGGGAAAAACCTGAATGAAAGTTTTTCCTTGACATTTTCTTAGTTTAGAGGAAACAGGAGAGCAATTTTTCCCCATCACTTTCACAGGCTGTTATTTTTTCTTCCCTCTCTCTACTCATCCCCAAGAGTTTCCTCCCGGATGGCCTGTTGTGCTGTAAGGGAAAAAGGAGTAGGATGAGGAAGGCTTTGGGAACCACTGGGACACGAAGCTGAGCCAGGAACCAAAACCTGAGCCTGCCAGTTGCTTTTGTCTGAGTTTTTCACACCCTCCTGCCAACCAAGCACTGTGCCAAGGGGTCTGTCACATCTCGAGACACAGAATTATCATCTGTTACAATACTTCAATACTTTAGCATAGATTTAGCTTTAAATGCTCTGTAAATCCTAGCAGAAATAATGGCCTTCCAGCTGAGAGCCACACACCACAACCAACCCACAGGAAGTCAGGACTGTAATTTAAAGGATCCATTAAAAAAGAGCACCCACGGCTCCCTGTCCTCACTCCTCTGGGGTACCTCTTTTCCCAAGCCAAGCAAAACTGAAGGCACATCCTCCCTGGGATGAAGGTGCCTCAAGGATCACACAGACTTCACCAGGAGCCTTCTCCTGGTGAGGGCTGAGTGTCTGCAGCCCAGTCCCAGGCAGAGGTCA